ACTTGGTATTGGTGTAACATGCCAGTGGCTCAGATATTGCTATAAAACTTGGTGAACTTATCGGTATTCGCCAAGTACGTGTCGTAAAACGCCGATATCTTGGTATAATCATTTGTTTATGAAGATTACACCATCTTTGGCGATATCCGCCTTTTATCGATCACGGTTGGTATATTCCCGAGTCGGAGTCGAATATCGCCAGGTGATTTGTTCAAATCTGGTTTTGTGACAGGCTTTCGCCACAACTTTGTGATGATTCCTGTCCGGCGAGAGTTTTATCAAGGCCGCATACCGCCAAGTTGGATTCAACCGCACACTTCCCCCTTGGTTCTGCTCTTCGTTGTCTGTTCTCAGTGACTTTCGATGTCTTTGTACTCTGAGTTCAAATGATTATCATGTCTTGTGGCAGGACGATAGGCGGTCTATCATAGACCGATCGAGTACAGGAGAGTTCGCGCGGGAGGCCCAGGATCTACTTACATGAGTTTTACCACGGCAGAGTTTATCCTTTGTCAACTTTGCCGAGCCGGCAAGGCCCAACGAGGAAGTTGAACAGCGTCGTATGGCCTTGTATGAATCGGTCAGTGATCTCCGATCATCATATCTCCATAGAAATTCTCCTTTTCGATGGAATGCTCCGACCAAAGCTCGAGTTCAAATTGAACTCGAGCTTGAACTGTTCAATAATTCATGGCTGAATAAGGCTCCGACCAAGGCTCCGACCAAGAAGCAGCTCAGGCTTATTTGGAGAGACTGCGGCAGCACTTGAAGGAGGTTCAACAAATTGGGTCACAATACATCAAACAGGTGGCAGGGAAGCGACCGCTGGAACATAGAGAGGATATGGAGCCTGAAGAGGTGTTTCAGGTAGGTTGTCCTAACAGGATAGTATCCTAGTGCTGGTGACTTGAGTTCAGATGGGCGACAAAGTTGCCTCTAAAAGAGACTCTTCGGCCACAGTACATAGCTCTAAGTTCCAGAAGCGCAAGTTCCATGGGGTGTATCTAGTGACCAAGGTGTTGTCCCCAAACAGTTACCGGTTACTAGTTACCGTTACCTGGTTACCCCATTACCAGTCGTTGCGTCCCGAAACGACCTTATTGGTAACAGCGCAACAATTGCCATAAGACACCGTGAACGTAGTGAACAGCCAAACGAAGCCTAGAGAACAACCAGTTCTTGTTCCCCTTTGAAACGTGTTTTTACACTACTCAGTTCTTGTGTTATCTCGGAAACTGCTCCAGCACTCAGCATAGCCCCACAAGGCTCGCTTTCTGCCGATTAACGGACAGAGGTCTTCAACTACCAACTCCTCACCATCACGGTCTCCTCGAAGACGATACAGGTAAAGATCGTCTTCTCCGGCATACCAGTCGTCCTCAACACTGACGACCGAATACTCCTGACGAACTTGGCGGTCTAGAGAGAAGTTCGACCAAACGAACACCTTGTCTCCGGGGACTATTGACATGTGACTAACACAAGGATTCTGAATTCCGAGTCAACACTATCATCAAAAAAACAACACCAACTAATGAGGTTAACTCACTCGCCTTTCCTCAGCCTTGAAAGGCCACCGCCTTATTCAAGGCTCACCATCCTCCATTCGGAGCTTGATGCGCATCCGCTCGTTGTGCTTTCTCAGTTGATGAATGAAGAATCGTTCATGTGAACGGCGATGACCCATGAAACACTTCAGGGCACCGTGCAGGCCCTCGGCAGCGTTGTTTGTACTATGTCGCATGCCCGCTGAAGCTGATCAGACTGATCAGATCAGTATAATATACCCGAACGTGAGGTGCCTCGCCAATGGAGGATCAGACCTGAAAGAGACCCTTTTCCGAGATCATGAATTAACAGAACCCGACGTTGTAGTAGTAGAGTGATCGACACGACTATCGGGGGCGGACTTGAGTGAGAGCGAGTTGTCAACAATAAACTTCAACAGAATAAGGTCCTCCAAGACTCAACTTCTCCTGAAAAGCAACACAGTATAGAACACAAAAGCGAAACTTCCTACTTACCGGAAGACAGTAGAGAACGGAACTTATCACGACACTGTTGACCGGTCCTAGCTAGGCATTGTGAGCTTCACATTGTCTTCACAATGTGAAGACTCAGTAGGAAAATACCGATAGGAAATAAGACCAATTGAATCCGAGAGCTTTCACAGTGTGAAAGCTCTCATATTCAATTGAAATTCACACCCGAGATGAACAGAACCACCTCATCGCGTCCAGAAGTTGTAGCACCTCATACGCTTACTCGTTGAGGGTTCAGCCTAAACCGTTCAGGATCAGCGACAGAAATTTTCGTCACAGAATCGTCATCGTGGGGAGATAACGGACAGGAAGTAGCAGTAATAGTAGTAGTGGAGTGTCGTTGCAAGCAGTAACTGACCTCGAAGACTAAGAGAAGTAGCCGAGTCGCGAGCCATGCTGAGAGTCGTAAATAATTAATTGACGGCGTGAATTGGTCCCTGCTCCATTACCATCATCTATGGGGATGAACCAACGTTGAGTCTTGATATAATGAGCTTGTACGAGCTCCAATGACTATGTATGCTGGACACCACCAGTTTGCAACGCACCAAAAGTTTGGTCCAATTTGGACCGTCCAAAACATAAACCGATAGCCAGGGCGCACGCTGTTCGATCCATATTTGACAACCCTAAAATCACCTACTTGGCAATCCTTGTCCAGAAGACCAACTTGGCGGGAGCTGTCCATGTGCAGTTATTGCCAATACTGATGTTGGCGGAATGAGAACAACACGCAGATTACTGCACATCTGTTGAATTTTGCAGAATCCACCAAATCTTAGTCCAAATCAGTTGTAGAGTAGCGTATTTCACCACATTGTTGTAATCTGTTTTAGCACTGGTATCACCTACAATTCCTGTCGTTAGGCCTGCGAATCTGTTTGGCGTCATTTTGGCGATTTCTGAGTTGGCGAAATCTGATACAGCCTTCGATTTGAGAAACAAATAGCGTAGCAGTGGATCGCTGATGACACACACTGTCCTAGTGAAGGTAACCGAATCATTACGTACTGTGATAAGCGTTGTATCATGGTAAACGGGATAAGTGTTCTATACTGCGAAGTTAAGCTCACGGAAAAGAGCTCCGGATAAACTCGGACAGCGGCAGCTCCGCAAGTACATATGGTCGCTCAAGCGGTGTTCTTCCAGTGGGCACTCAAGAAATACCACGCTTGACAATTCTCTGTGTTTTTGCAGTCAACTGATCTGACCTATAGTGTGAGTACTGAGCGGCCGTACCAAAAGAGGGGGTTGTGTGGTGAGACAATTATCCCATGTGGTTACTGCGCAGTTCCCTCCCAGCAAAATCTACATTGCTACTTCACTGATGAGCGTTAGAGGCTGTTCAGAAGTATTCTTTAACGGAAGAATATCGTCCGCGACTTACCCATTCCGACGATTCGTTGCCGGAATGTGTGAATGAGCAAAGGACCATGTGATAGATTATATTGAATGTCACTCATACGATGAAAGGATTCACAGCAAGAATGAGATTTGCTCAGGTAAACGTGTAAGTACTCGTTGGAGCATGTTTGTTCTCATGAGCTTCTTAAAGAGTGAACCTCTCCTCACACAAATCTCATGCAGGTTTCATTCGTGCGTAATGTCGGTCTTTCCATCCGATTTGGTCGACAGGTGCGGTGGGCGGCACCGGCTCCGAGACCTCTCACGAGTATTGCATCGCAAACTCCGGGCGGATCCCTCTATGCCAATTCTCTGTGACTCGCAAGCAGATAACTACGTTGATTGGTTACTGGCCACCGTTCGCGTTGGGTCTACATTCGGCAAAACTGCGCGCTCGGGCATCGATGCTCTTCCAACGCAGCGACATCGCAACCGCTGGATTCACCTGCAATTCGAGGCTTGCGACGAGCTCGCTCTATCCCCCGGGTTCATTCTGCCATATATTCATGGTCTCTGTTTGGTCTTGTCTGGGATCCCATTGCCACCGAACTCTCCAGTGGGAAGTTTCAAGTCACTGGTGAACACTCCTGTGAGAAGTCCGAGGTGCTATGCTATCTCGTCTCCTCACTCGAGTCGATCGTTATCCTCATGTGCCACGCCGGTCGTGCGTAGACCGAGAAAAGTCACTGCTGCTCATGAGATCTCTCGTGACAGCTTTGATGTTGCGACTCTTGATATGTGATCCTCTCTGTTCCATTGTTGCCTCGATATGAGGCCTTTGTATCGATACCATTGTAGATATTCCGTGGTTCCGTGAAGTGATCATGGGCTCCCACGCGGACATATCCCTGATAATAGTTAAAATTTCGATCAACACCTCAGCCTGCATTAAAGTCGGTATTTTTCAACCTTAGTAGTCCTGTTGACATAATGTCACATTGTGCTACATAGATGATGTGACATCTCTGACATGTGTTATTTCGTGTTCACAAGTGTACAATTATATCCTTGATCTCTGGTTGAAGGTGGGCGACGAAAGTCGGCTTAGGCCGGCGAGCCAGCCACTGGCTGTGCGCGCGGTGTACATACCAGAGGAAGGCGTTGTGATCAGGCGATGCTGGTTCAGTTAAAGTGTCTCGCCTGAACTTCATGAGCACATCCCTCATGTGAGTCACATGAGGGATGTGCTCATGAAGTTCAGGTGACCCACGAGCTGCAGAGGCCTGGTGATTCTGTCGCGTGTTTATGGATACGAACACAAGTCTCTCTTACAGCATGAAAACCGTTAGTTGAAACATGGCACGATAAATCCATTTCATGCCTGAGAGTATCACGTAAATGATAAGGCGTCGTCTCATGACATCATCTGATGCATAGACGGTGTGAGGAGAGTCTCCTGCAGAATGTGCAATGGGAGCCTCGATGGTTACGGTATCGAGGTTCTCCCTCGCCACGTCGAGATTGCCATTGCTGGACCGTCAAATCGACCGAGATCCACCACCAGTAGAAACTGCATAATAGTTCACGTTCTTGATTCGAGTTGCTCAGGCTTTGGTCGGAACAGTAATAGCACTGCACACTTCCCGGGAATCACCGAGATGCTAACGAAGATCCGCGGAAAAACGATGAGGCTCGTTAATAAGTAGTGTAGTCTTCAATCACTCCCGTACGGAGTCCGCAGTATGGACTCCTTACTAAGGACATGACAGGATCTACCCACTCGTCTGATTGAATTGTCGTCTTATCCACGGAGTACCTTGGTAACGAAAAGTCGGTGCCCTTCTGGTGAGGCCACCGGCCTCAGGCCGGGCTGATGGTTTCCATGAAGGTCAATTTATTGGGCTAGGTCAACAAACGAGCGAATGGTTTGTGATGTGGTTGGGGGGTGTTGGATCGATTAATATCCAGTTACCATTTAGTTAATGGGGACTTTCCTGAACCCACCCGCCCGCATCCGGTTTAAGTTGGTTTGAGAGGCATGAGTAGTCAAGCGAGGGTCATAGGCCAGAGGCTCTGGCCCAGAGAGCACCGAATTGACTCTCTGTGGCAGATGAGAGTATCCCATAGTCTCGCTGCTACTTATGCGGAGCGAAGCATCCAGCGTTGCAAGTTTCGGAGAATTTTTCGACAGAACTTCGAGGTTGAGACTTTCGGATCTCACTAGTTCTGTAGCAACGTATCATGCTTTCGCCCCACTACCCACTACTCCCAACTAACTAAATGAATGGATGTTATTGGACAACAGACATTCGACAATAGTATGGTAGAGTGTTCAGGGTAAACCAGCGAGCGAGTAAACTTGAACCAACTTAGCGCGATCCATTAGCTACTTTTCAAGAAACCTCTCCATACGATCATCGTCTTTGATCTGATCAAGTCTCATCGTGAGACTCTCATGATTCTCGAAACCACGGTCCCCTCGCAACCTGTTTGAATTCAGTCTCGTGAGTTTCATGTGACATGACATTGATATGAGGATTTTCAATAGTGCCTTCGTTGTTGCTGTAGTGGTATTTCGGTTGTGAACCGCGAGCAGTAAGCGTAAGCCTCATCATGAGAGTACTGGCATGATTGTCCCGATAACACGAAATTGAAGTTTCGGACAACGAATTCGATTCTCCATAAGGGACCAAATTGAGAGTCTGAAGGTGTACTCGACGAAATTGAAAGTTCTATGACGAATTCGAAGGTTCGAAAGTCGAAATTAAATGTTCTATGAACACGAACTTGAACTTCTCATCGACTTCGGAGGAACTTGAATATTCTATGACGAAGTTGAAAGTTCTAATTATGAATATGATCTTTCCGGTTCGGATTCTTACCTCCAACTTTGCGCGTCCCGACGAAATTGATGGTCCCAAAGACAAACTATATGTTTAAAAGATGTAGTGACGTCTGGTCTCGCTCTTTGTTCATGGCTGTTGTAGGCACTTCTATTCCAAAGCTGGTAGCCTACTTCAGAGAACACTGATCGACTACATCGATCTGAAACGTCGTCATACCGGTACTAGACATTGCAGAGAGTGTCTATGACATATACTCCATGCTGCTCTGGAGAAATGTGACTGTATTCCGAATATTTGTCCTTTCACTACGGACAGCGCCGGCAGATACTTGCCGGGTATGAGCCTCCTTCGTCGGACCTACGGCGACAGCGGACGGTACCGTAGCCGTATCCGTAGGTCTTGCCCATCTCTAGAGCCACAAAGCATGCCGAACAGCAGCATGATGAACTAGTCTTATCCTACTAGTCTTATCTGGCCAACGCTCAACCACTGGACTCAAATGTGTTTGAATTTAGTCTTTTCCGGAGACACCTGTACACAATCTTTGACCCTTAGCTTGACGTTTAGCTAGCTATTGACTCGTGCTGTGTTTTGCTGTACTTCCCTACTACTAGTACTCTAGTAGAAAAACTATACTGTTGTGTTTATCATGGCTCCTAAGACCAAGGCCACTCAGAATCCCAAGAATGTGGAAGTATTCGTCAATTGTAATGGAGGTAATTTCTACGTCTTGTTACAAGGTGTAGGAGTCTCCGATCGACGACGCATAGCCTCAGAGCTCGTGTGACAGAAGACTCCTACTGGTTTGGATCCACCAACTAACGCGACTACTGGAATGTATAGTAGTGAAACTCCTGTGCCACATCTCGATGATCCGTACAATAACAAGCGGATCCACAAAAACTTCCATCAAAAAGTCAATTTGTATTCTGGTATGTGCGCGCGAACATCCTGCGAGACGAGTTCGATGGACGTCCGATGTGTCAAGACTGTGAGAGATGAGAATAATCTAATGGTACACCGACAACACAGTCCACTCTGGTGAGTGACAACTGTCATCAGCAATTCGCCTATCAAGGTCTATATAACCATGGAAATGTTCACGAAAAATTGTGCATAAAACGCCCGAAAAGAAGTAGCAAGTGTTCTGATATTCAAACCTTGACGCGAGGTGGGTCAGCATTCTTCTCATGTGGGCCAGGCCGACCGCTCGAGTCTGTGGCCGAACCCTCTTGCCTTCCTCGTGGACTCGTCAGTCCAACCCGACATTCTCCACCAGCATCATCAGAGCCGACTCTGCCGCCGATCTTCCTCGGCAGCCGACCAAAAAGCTCCCATAACTTCCTCCCTGATCCCCCTGGCTTCAAAGGTGTTTTCTGGACATCGGCATCACACAAGACCGGCCTATGCCAGCCTGTAGTACGTTCCTTGCCATGCCACCTGTAGATCAGCACCGTTATGGCCAACACCAATTGTACCGTCATGATAGGGCACTGCACAGTTAACACTCCGAACAAGAAAGTAGCCTGCCGAGCATACTCGTGGACATACAAGTCTCTTGACCGACACCAGCTGTTGATCTCCCCCGAGCTCGATCCTGCATGCCTGCTCAGGGCGTTCTCTCGGCATGACAAAAACTGCTCCTGAGTCCCTCGGTAATCCATGGCCCAATTATTCAGGAACAACTGGATGTTCTCTTCTTCGCACTTGATAGGCTCGAACGACAGGTCGCTACCACTGCAGTTCTCTGGAATGCAGTTTCCCCCTCCACAGTGGCCCACTTTCCATTGATCGATATACTCTTGTCGAAAGGAGTCCAGAAGTTGCGATTCCTCTCCCGAGGAGTCGGCGAATGCTGCCACCCCACGGCTATCAATCCGCTTGAGTACAACATAGAAGTGGTGGTAGATGAAGGTGAAGGCGATGTACAAACCGAGACTTAGTATGAGAAGAGCGATGAACCAGATGATATGTTTTCGGCTCGGCCCAGTCCGTATTGCCTGGCACCCCAGGATGGACACAACTACCATGCCCGCAGAACTGCCCCACATCGAGTACAGTAGAGTCGACGTCTCAAATTCATCCAAGTTGAAGAAAGCCAGAGAAGCCATACTCAAGTAGATGTTGAGCACCGACAGAAAGAACAGCGCGATGCTGAGTAAATCCATGAGAATCTTAGTCACTCTCTCTTGCGGCCAGTACCCACCCTCCGACGCGAAGTTGCGAGCGTACAATACAAAGATGGTGTGCCGAGTGGGCACGCTATGCGAATCCGCTTGCTGGTCGTCTCCTCGTCCTCCGCCAGCTTGTTGGGGGTCTCTTGAGTCCGTCTGATTGCAAGTGTCAACCCCACCTCCTCCAGCATCCAAGAACCGCGACTTTTGGACGGTTCTGCTGTTGGGCAAAACGTCCGGGGGCAGGACGTCTGCTAGTGCCGGCAAGGCCGGGCCTAGCCCCATAGTGTGCGTTCTCCGAATGGAGGTAGAATGAGGCGTCGGCCGAGACACCCCCCTCTCCAACGGTAACGCGGAGTCGAAGCTCCCCCGTCGTGTGAAGACACCATTGGACATTTACGAGAGTCAAGGATCGGCAATAATTGTTCTTGTCAACTGAAGCGAATTTGTTCAGGATGCACGTGTGTGCCGAAGTAACGCACGCAAGCGACAATCTTGAAGTATTGCTGACTTGCATTTCCTCAGTAACTCTTCCCTCCCATCTATTTGATCGGCGTGGTCAATCGACCTTCAAGCTCGCCCAGGATTAGATATCACATGTAAACCTCGACCTCTTAGAACTCAGATGCAACATCTGTGATATCGTGGGACGGTGATGTCGCTAGTATAGGTTGCACTATCGTTCTCGTCGCTATGAGCGTCATATATGCTTCCGCGCTAGACTTGGACTCAATCGAGGGGAGTGACCTGTGGGGAATGAGGTATAGTACTTGGTAGTGTCGGTGTGGCGTCTGGACTATCTGAAATTTCCGCTTCATCTTGTTGTTGATGTTTTTGGGGCTGTCCCTTCGAGAGATGGGAAGTGTCATGAACAAACGGACTACTAGTCGTTCTATTACCCTGAGGAACGAGCATTGAGGCCGCATGGGGTATACCAGCCAGTGTGAGAGAGCACAACGTAGAAAATGCCAGGTTAGTTCATATTTCCAAGTATCATCTGTAAATGGGAATTTGCGGTTCGAAGAATCCGTCAAACAAGTCTCCAGGATCCAAGGAGGGCCTGACGTCCAGTGGTTCGGCTCTTCAGAAGGGGGTAGGCTGGGTCTAGAATGCGTAGTCGCCTGTAAATTTGTCCTATTGTTAGGTTGCTGAGGGAGGTTTCGGTCGGGCTAACTTTATCTTGGATAACAATGGATCTCTGTTAGAGCACTATGATGTTGATACGAAGAAGATTGGGCAGGGATCCTATGGCTCTGTGACGAAAGCTGTCAATAAGTCAACACATGCGGTCAGCACTAGATGGCTTGAGTCGGCAACATGGATGGATGTGTCGATCAGGTTCGTGCAGTTAAGACGATATCAAAGTCTCATGTGAAGAATATTGAACGATTCAAGCAAGAGATAGCGATTATGAAGATGCTTGATCATCCCAATATTATCAAACTCTTCGAGACATTTGAAGATCATCGTAACATCTATCTCGTTATGGAACTCTGCACGGGAGGTAGTAATTTGTGATAGTTTTTTATGGAAGGCCAGCAGTGAGCTTCGCCGTTGTGAAAGGAGTACTTGGGCGTATCCTTGTATTGTCTTTTTCAGGCGAACTCTTCGACAGGATAATCGATGAGGGCCGTTTCACGGAGGTTCAAGCAGCTATTGTTATGCAACAGATCCTCCGTGCTGTATATTATATGCATGAGAACCATATCGCACATCGTGATTTGAAGCCAGAGAACTTCCTGTTCCTCAACAAGGATCCAATCGAGAAGTCTTGGGTGAAACTTATCGACTTCGGTTTGAGTACTTACTTCGATGGCACCGATCTTATGAAGACTAAGGCGGGGACACCATACTATGTGGCACCTCAAGTTTTGGCAGGCCGGTACGATGAGGAGTGCGACCTGTGGAGTTGCGGCGTTATCATGTAATAAAAGCCGCTTGTTTGCGTTTATATATGATTAAGTTTGGTATGCCTTGGTGGTAGGTACATCCTCCTGTGTGGTTATCCTCCCTTCTATGGCGAGACTGATGCTGACGTTCTCACTAAAGTGCGGCTGGGGAACTACACGTTCAACGCTTCTGATTGGAGGAATATATCGGCCGACGCTAAAGATCTCATCCGGAAGCTCTTGAAGATGAACCCGAGAGAGCGCTATACTGGTAAGGATGTGTTTCATTCCATCTCAGTTGATGACTGTTGGTTGCGGTAGACGGAGTCAGACCTTGTTTTTTTCGTCAGCCGAACAAGCCTTGAATCACCCATGGGTGAGGAACCATGCTCCCGGCGCAGAAGACGTCCCACTTGAGGGAGCTCAGATGAACAATTTGAAGTCCTTCCGAAGTCTTAATAAGCTGAAGAAGGTAATACCAGTTGGTTTTACTCCAGCGCGAGTGATGGATTTTTTGCGGTGGAGGTGATGTTCCTTGCTTCATATCAGGCAGCACTGAATATTATTGCTCAACAAATGCCGGATGAGGAAATTGCCCAGCTGAAAAAAGTGTTCACGTCCATGGACAAGAATGGAGACGGTCAGCTCACTGTACAGGAGATGCTTGAGGGAATACAGAAGTCTGGTGGGCAGATTCGGACGGAGGGTTCGTGAAAGTAGTGTGATGTGGGCAGGTCTTAAGGATGTTCCAGAGGACCTTATGGACATCATGAAACAGGTGGATTCTGATGGCTCAGGAGTGATCGATTACACAGAGTTCCTCGCAGCAACACTTGATAGTAAGTGTATCATGGGAACTGACCGATCGGGAGTTATGGCGTGATTGTTGTTCTTATTTCCATGGTGACTGTTTGTAAAGACTGATGTTACACAAGTCGATCGCGCGGCAGTATAATATCGAAAAAACGCCGGATAGTTGGCGTTCAGGATTGCCATCATTCTCAAATATCGCAAGAGAATTATCAAGAATATCGAGATGTGAAGTTCAGTTCATTTGGAAACTGTAAACGGATTTATTGAGATTCGCGTGGAACGGTTTCTTCTAAAGTATTACTGATGATGTTGTTTCTATTGGTATTCGTCAAGGGAATGTTGGCAATTTGATCGCCGCATTAAATTCAAGTCTGGTTGGAACTTGCGGGAAACTGCCTCTTGCTTTATCGTGTTGTGTGTGAGGCTCACACTGTGAGCGTCTCTTGGTCGAACTATGATGTGTTTTCGCGTTCAAACATTAATTCGTATTTCTCAGAGAAGAAGTACATCCAAGAGGATCGTCTGTGGGGCGCCTTCAGAGTTTTCGATCGGGATGGTGATGGGAAGATTACTCGTCAAGAATTGGCCGAGGTCCTGAACAACGGTGATGTTGGTGACATCGTCGATGGCCACATTGATGAGATTTTGAAGCAAGCAGACGCTAATGGTGACGGCGAGATAGATTTCGATGAATTCGTAGCGATGATGGAGAAGCAGTAGGGCTCTCCTCCACAGTTTTGTATGGGTAGGACTTTCGCTTGGTAGTGTTTTTGTTTCCATTTCGCCGTAGTCGTTCTCACCATGTAGGCCATCAGGATAGTATTTGCAACGTGCATAGCAATTGGTTGCTTTTCTGCTAGTGTTCCTCTTGCCATGCACATCGCGGTTGCCCTTGATGCCCCCCTTACTGATGTTATTTGCCAAGATTTTCTCGTGACCTTCCCTAGTGTACGGTGGTTGTTCATGCAGGATTGAAACGCTACTGTTGCAGCTGACAGATCCTCTTCTACGACCTACTGTAGACACCGGTGAGATTTGTGGGTCGCCTTTGTTGTTGGCTGCTTATGACCGTAGTGGTTTCAAGCTCTTACCACACTTCTGCGTTAACATAACTCTGTCAATGTTTCCTTGTCAAGTCGCCTTGTTTGACGGTCGAAGTCGACCTTGCACTCCGAACTCAATGCGAGCTTCGTAAATCCTCCCAGTGTGTTGTATGACGAACCGACTCATATTATTATCACTCTCTGGCGAGCATCGTATCGTTAGATCACTGGTTGGTTTTTTGGGCGAAATTAGTGCACTGGGCCATGATGCAAGCCGCTGCGTTACAAATTGAAACTTGCGATTCCGGTAAGTGTGCAACGGAGCATGAACGGTTGAGTTAGCTGCTACGTTAATCATCGAACGGCATGTCCAGACGTTGTCACTAAACTTGGTGTCCTAGATCACTATTTGTTGTCACTAAATCTAGTGACAACAACTCGCCCAGCTAATCGATATCCGATCCTGTGCCGCTCAAACAACGTTATACGTTACCGCATTGGGTTAGGGGTCTGCCCTCGCACGAGAGGCTCGAGTTTTGGGTTTCCTTCGTGTTTTATTGTCAACAATGTCTGGGTACGTCGTTTCCCCCACTGACTGGTAGAACTGCCAATGTATCGTGCTTCTATTTCCTTGAAAGCACTCATGAGTCATGAGTGCTTGGATTAGGACGCATTGTGGACCATTCCTTTCTCGTATGGTAAACTTAATCAGCTCGAGAGGTCAGACACGACCAGCGTGTTTGCGGATGGGGATTTTCATACTAGGTTTATTGAGGAAAGCTCGCTTTTCCCTGCAGTACTTGATGCTATGGGAGCGCTTGTTGGTAGCGATGGAGACATTTTCACGAGTAACTCACCAAAGGAAAAGCGGCACAGCTCTGCTGGTCCGAGGGCCGCATGCAGGGCCTGCGACGCCCCCTAGTGAGCATCTCGACAATCATGTGTGATAGACGGCTTGTGGCTTTAGAGTTGTCCAATCGTTTGTGTCTAAGCGACGCAAGCGGACAAGTGAACTTGACCGAAGCTGACCTGGGTATGGTCGCGAGTGTTGCGCTACATGTTTCAGCATCGTGGTAAGCTTCACAGGCGAGTAGATCCCCGAGCCCCCGCGGGAGGGTTGTAAATACGCCCATCACTTTGATGCTCGAGGAGCCCGCGAGTTCCTGAGAGGCAGCGGGCTCGGCGGACCGACCGTTTCCGAACAGGGAAGACGACCTAACACGTTTCTGGTGCTCTCCTCGCTGCTTTTCGTGGTGGAGTATGGGATACGGTGATAGTGTTGGTCGTTATCCTCATCATGATAAGCGGTCTGGCAAGTCTGCGACAACTGCGCTGTTTCTCAAAGGTAGCTCGGTTCGATAGAGGCTCGCGGTCGTCGAATGAACCTAGCATGCCCTTCCACGTGCATCGCAGTAGTGAGGATAATTTACCAGTGCATGTGTACTATCGGAATAATCGGTCACAAGCCTTCACCCAGGTTAAAAGGATAAAGGGAGATATTAAGGTAGTGATAGTTGCACAAACTTACCGCGCGCCCCAATATTCTTCCCACACTACAGTCGGTCTCGTCTTCTTTTTCCTATCTCAGGTTATAAAGGCCGAGCTTGAAAATATCTGTCGGACCCCGGCTCGACAGCTCAATGATCGAGTGCTTGAGCTCAGAGGGGATCATAAAAATATAATCCGAGCATGGCTGGCCGGCAACGGCCTTTGAAGCGTTTCTGTAACACGGCCAGTGTGAGTTAAGTCGATGATAGTATGCACCTACATCAAGATAGTCCTGTTTTGTATGCTCATAAGTGTTGGTGGACTACATAGTAGGAGCCCAGCGTCCCTAGTCTCGGCGGTGCGATGGTTTTCCGATAAGCATCGTCGTATTCAACGAGTCCGGTATCCGTGGAAACAGGACTTACTTAAGATGAACTGGGCGTATTTACATGAGGAGATGATGGAGTACTTCAAAGGCAGACCTACTAGGGATTCTACTGTAGAGATCCATGTACTAAGGCGATGCGCTATCAGCGATAAGCTCCTGTGTTGGAAAAATATGTGCATGGTCGTCCACGTGTGTTGGTGACAGTATGAAAATTTTGAGGAAATTTCGGGAGATTCTTGTTGGTTCTTGTATCCTTCTACACGAATTCGCATATAAATTTCTATGTACGCGAGGGACTTCCTGAGCTCAGTTGAGGAAAGCAACCATATTTATGAAGACTGATAAGCTCTGGACGCGCATTGTGGTTGTTGTCATCCTTAGGCCAAGGCATGGCCAAGGTTTGCTCAATCACCCTATTTAGTATCGGAAGGTGAGATGGTAGACTATTCCGGTGGGAGTGATAGTGCTGCACATAGGGTACGTACCTGGTATTATCGTGAAGCGTGGATACGATAGAAAGGTCATTTTCAAGAAGTCGGAAATTGAGGCGGTCGCCTTTGATGATGACCCTCAGGCTCATGTAAGGTTTCTCAGGGTGTTTGAAATATGATTGATATCGTTTGCAGATAAGTCATCTTTTATGGGTCGCATGTTCGTGTGGATGTGGAAAATGAATGGATCGAAGATTGCGTTGTTGTTGACTACAAGGCTCATCCTGTCAATCGGCAGCTTTTCTTTGTTCGATTTAACAGGCATATTCCAGGGAGCATCACAGAGGTAGGCAAAATTTTGATGTTATATTTCTGGCAGTCGTTTTCTCTATCATATAGTTTAAACTTCCATGTTTCTTCATCTATTGCTTATAATATACTCATAAATGAGGAACTAAAAGTCGTTGTTAGTATGAGAATTAAATGAGAAAATGTAAAATGAAAAATTTACTCCCTTTTCCGGTAGTTTTTCAGCTCTGTTTCAATCCAGTGGGATGAACTCTCCTCCAGATTATTAACTGAAATAGTACTAAGCATGTTGTGCCGGCATCTTCAGATCGACGTGCCAGTGACCCTAGTGGGCGTATTTGGCTCCCACGCTCACCTAAATCGAGCACAGATCGATCTTGCTATGCCGACAATTAAACTTCAGTAGTGCCGCCGCCGCTGTCGTTGCCGTATCCTGCTTGTATCGGTCATGCAGATGTGTTGGAGAGAAGATACCTCCGCCTTTCCTCGTTGATTGCAGTAAGCTCCGAATGGAAGAGCCTTATGGAGCTATCACTCTACGAGATATCCAACATCTACTCCCAGAGGATGGCACGGCCAGGTCTGCCATTCGATGTCGATCTTCGTGCTTATCAGAATGCCGCAGGTTTCATCCCTCCTACGACGTTGACGAGACGGAAATCGTTCATGCGTATCGGCCATATTCGATTCCTGAACAAGACATTCCTGAGGACTACGTTGACCCCAATTTTGTGAAACAGAATAAGAAACGTTACCATCTCACATATTCTGGGTATTGGCCAAGACAGTGACATGTGTTGTTTGATAGTGTTTCTGATTGAAGTGTATGATGGGACTGTGTTGTCCAGTTGGGGTAGTAGTGGGGATGTTTAGGTGACCTCTTGAGTGATGCAAATATGAATCAGCAACAACTATATGAGTATATGAGACGAGTGCAAGTGAGTCCCAGCTGGATTGGAGCGAATTGGAGGCATATCTCTGCTCAGGCCCAGCAACAACAGCAGCGTGGTGGTATGGGAGCGGTGACACAGCCAGGACCGGTGTCACCAGCTATGGCATTACAGCTCCTCAATAGGCAACAGCAGATGTATACCCAACAGGTTAGCGGATGCAGAGGGTTTCCGTTGGAGTGATGGTATATTAGGCTGCTGCGTACATGCCGCAATCAGGAATGATGCCGGGCCCGGGCGGGGCGGCGGCTAGAATGATGATGCCCTATCCTATGGGGATGACCGTGAGATGAATACCTCCGCTACCCTCCGTCTACGTTCTGCTTGTTAGACGGCTGGGATGCCTCGACCAGGAATGATGCCGTTTGGCATGCCGCCACCCTTTATGGCGCGTCGAGGTGGGCGTTTGGTTGTGCACTATGAGCAACACTATTGGGCTCAGGGGTGCAGCAGCCGCAAGATTCTACTGCCTCTGAGATTGAGATTGCTATGGCAGTCATTGAAATTAAGCTGGGAACTGATCGATTGACCTCGCTGAAGATACTCCAACAAGTCGCCAAACGTCAAGTTAAACCAGTAGGGAATGATAGACTGAGGCCGCCGCACTATGGGTCTTGTAACAGAACCGCGGAGATAAGATGATAACGTTTACTGTTGGGACTCCACCGACTCCTGCGAACCCACAAGCTGTTGCTGGATACGTCGCCCTATGCAAGGCGACTGGGAGAATCTACGTCTGCAGTTGTGGGTGCCTGTGTGTCACTATTGAGCGGATCTGGGACCGGGCTCTGGTCGTCATTCTGAATGCGCATCTGATCTGTTTGTTTTTTCAGCTTCAAAAGATTTGGCCAACAAGTTTGCAATGAACGTAAATAATCTGGCGAGGAATCGACT